AACCCTTGCAGTGCAGCAGCCATCAGCCCCCCCAAAAGGGGGGGGAGCCTCTGCTAGCCCCACCCCCTCCAGGCTGGCCCCAACCCCCACACCAAGCAGGGGACCCCCCCTACAGAGGTGGGGGGGCATTAAAGTGCTTCATTAAGGAATTAACAAAATAGGATTAATTAGAGCAAAATATACAGACTTGGGGGAGGGGAGCTAGCCCCAACATTCACCCCAGGCTGCACTGGGGAGGTAATTAATGGCTCTGGGGGTAATTAAGCAAAGCAGAGACAACGCCAGGGTCCCCCCTGCCCCCTCCAGCTGGGGGGCACTAGCCACGCAGGGACCCCAAAATGCAGCTGGTTCTGGGGGGCAGCAATCAAGTAGAATGCCCCCTGGGGGCGGGGCTATAAGAGGGGGGGTCCCCCAGCTGTCAGTCACACCAGTTGCCTTAGAGATGCCCTTCCCCATTCAAAGCAGCAGCAGGAAAGGCCTCTGGTCCAGGGAGGTGGAGTCTGGCAGCAAAGCCCTGCCCCTTACAAGGCCAGGGGCAGGACCTCACCAATTCATGATGCAGTTCCTGTTGAGGGTCATGAAGTAAACCTGGCTGCTGCCGCCCGAGCGCACTGAGGCAAAGAACACCTGGGGGCAAGGGGTCAGAAGTCAGGGGGTGAGGGGCACAGGGTACCCCGATGCAGCTGGCTCTGGGGTGGGTGTGGTTGGGATTGCGTAGAACAGGCCTGGATGCTGCCAACTCCAGGGAGACTCACGTCTGGGTGTAAGAGCCTGGACGCACCCAGCTCTGGAGAAGGTCGCATCTGGGTGTAACGGGGCCCAGATGCAGCTGGCTCTGGGGTGGAACAGGAGCCGGGCCGTACCTTGTCATTGCGCTCGCAGAGGAACTTGAGACGCTGCGCCCGCTTGTGCATGAAGACGCCGTCCAGGCGTCCCGTGTCAACGGCGCGGATCTCAATGGCCTTCTCCCCCCAGCCCATGATCTGGTTGGAGCAGATGTACGCTGTGGGGTGGGGGGAAGGGAATCAGCCCAGAGAACCAGGTGTCCAGGCTCCCAGCAGCCCCTGGGCCAGCCCCAGACAGCAACATAGAGGGGACCCAGGCATCCAGGAGGGCCGTCCATGCCCTGCTATGGCCCCCTGGACTCGTGCCAGACCTAGAAGGAAACCCAGGCATCCGGGCTACCAGCACCAACCAAGCCCCCCCGTCCTTAAACCCCAGCCAGGCATCTGGGGAGACAACTAACTCCATCCCTGCTGCAGCCCATCAGATCAGAGAGACCATCGAGTGACCCAGGCGTCCGGGGAGGAAAAGGACCCAAACATCCAGGGAGAGGATGCTGTTCGGGAGGGAAGAACCCAGGCATCTAGGAGGGGAAGAACCTGTCCAAGAAAGGACCCAGGCGTCTGTGGGGGGAGGAAACCAGTTGTCCAGCACTCACCAACGGAGCTGGGCGTCTCCCCCCACTGCAGCACAACGTCCTTGGTGATGCGCCCGTGGGTGCTGACATAGACACCCTCATCCTCATAGCACAGCAGCATCTCCAGGCCACCGGCGTCGGGCAGGAACACGATAGCATGTGGTGTCACTGGGCCAGGGATCTGAGGGGGCATGTGGGGGAGGGGGAGCGTCACAGGGGTCAGAGGTCCTGGGGGAGCACGGAGGGGAGGATGGGGGGGCCTGCACACTCACGTGCACGGGCACATAGATGTCATATGTGTTGCCCGAGTCCACGTCAATGGCGTGGAAGCCGGTGCTGGAGCCGTAGACCACCTTGAGGCGCTGCCCCTCCTCCACTGTCAGCTCCACCAGCAGCGGGCGGTGCGGCAGGTCCGCAAACGACTGCAGGGGGCAGGGGGTCAGAGGACCCAGGCATCCGGGCCCCCAGCCCCCTCCCCTCCCAGAGGACCTAGGCATCTGGCGCACCTTGAAGGCCATGAATTTGTGGTAGGGCCGCGGGGCCCAGGCGTAGACCTCCACTGAGCTCTTCAGTGCAATCACCAGGAACTTGATGCGCTCATACTTCACTGTAGCCCCGCACACACGTGTGCGACACACCCAGGGCACAGGGACACATGTGACCATGAGACCCTCGATCCAGGGCTCTGGGCCCCCCCAGCAAGGGGAGCTCCAACCCCTTCCAGTGCCCTGGGAGCCTGCCCTG